AGAGAGAGAGAGCGAGAAAGAGAGAGAAGGGGTGGGGGTGAGGGAGAGAAAAAGAGAGAAAGATAAACCGAAAGAGGGTGTCACGGGGTAAAGGCAGGGTTAGGGTTATTACTTCTTTACAAGTGATTATTGGTTTACTTTTCCGTCTTGTCACGGGCGACAGGGAAAGTGGCCACTGTACATACACACCGGGGACATTTTCTCTATAATGGTGGGCCTGTGTATTGTCCCTGTTTGTTCTGTGTCCGGAGACTATTCTTGCAACAGCACGACCCAGGCCTGAGGAATTACACATCACGTATTGGGATCATTCAAAACTTTGTTGTGAATTAAAGCCATATATGTTTATAGTATATTTCAATCAGCGTTTTTTTTATAACTTATATAAAAAAATCCAGTAGATTAAAAAAAAAAAAAGCAAAAACATAAAACATACTACGTTTTTTGGTATAATGGTAGGCCGTGTATTGTCCCTTGTTTGTTCTGTGTCCAGGGACTATTCTGGCCACAGCACGACCCGTGTCCGAGGAATTACGCATCACGTATTGCTTTCGTTCAAAACTTTGTTGTGGATAGACATAATATGTTTATGTTTATAGTTTGTTTCTATATGCGTTTTTCCCCTTACATATAAAACCTAACAAATTAAAATAAAAAAACAAAAGCAAAAACAAAATGATAAAACATGCGAGTGATTCTTTTGGTGCGTTTTTTCTGACTACACAATACGTGAAAAAACGAAAGCAGAAAACCCCCCAAAACAAAACAAAAACAACTACAAAAAATACGGACACCATACGTTCAACGCAGGGTGATATTTCTGTACTAATGCATTGTCGTCTACACAAAGGTATAGTACGATAGAATTTTATACTTCGTATGTACAGTGTGTACGCCCGTTTCTAGGCTTTCAGGTAATCAGCGGAATATTTCAAATTCAGAATATAGAATCTTTACGGATTGTGTTCAAACTTTATGCAAAGTGCGCGTATCAATGCTTACTCTCTTATGGGCTAAAGCTCTTTTCTAAAATATGATACTGAGTTTATCCAAGGTGCTGAAAAGCATTCGAAGACCCTATATCAGTTCCTTTCAATCACAATATCTGCTTGGCTTCGGTTAGCTTTGAATGCTAACTTTTAGAAATGCAGTATTCTGTTAAGGAAAAACAAAACAAAATAATGCAAAGAAAAATTAAAACACTGTCCCTTTTGTTTGGAACACTAAAAAGTTTTAAGTGTGTTAGTACTCGAACTGAAGACCGTTGTCCGCATGAAAATTAAATCTTTTATTA